GGGCCTCAACAGACTATTTCCAATTTCAACACTGTCTAAAAAGAGGGGTAAAGGCACTTAAACAAAGAGATGCCCTCTTTGACATAGAGACAGGGCAGGAACATTTGGTCACTGCCCGTAAAAATTTACCTTTTAAAAAATGAAAGCAGAGAGTTGCCATACCAGCACCTTGGGAATAGAATATAAGCTACAGAAACCCCCTTACATATTTAAATTTTTAGTGGGGATGTTAATTAGGAAAGGTGGAGCATAGACCAGGAAGCCAGGACAATATATTTTCAAGAACAAACTTGGCATAACTATATTAAGCATGTTTTAAAAATGGACTCTCCTTTTCAATCCAAGGTTGCTAGTTGCTATGGTGCATTATATTCTTGATAATGACGATTTCCAATTTCAACACTGACTTAAAAAAGGGGAAAGTCACTTAAACAAAGAGATGCCCCCCCCCTTTGACATAGAGACAGGCTAGGAACATTTGGTCTCACACACACACACACCCTCCCAGAAAGGTATCTCCCAATCATGTCTACTAAAGGCATCATATGAGGCTGAAATAACTCCAGCATAAAATAACCGCTGATATTTTTAGTTACTTGTGACTATTATTTATATTAATTAGAATACTTCTTGGAAAATCAAAAGGGGATTTTAACAAGCGCACAGATATTCTAGGTATCTTCCTTGGTTGTAAAAAGGTGTCGAAAATTATTTTGAATAGTCTTAAATTACTTTTACTAAAATGGGTTTTTTCCTACTCTTCAACTTATTGCAGGTTTTCTTTGTGAGCCATCCTCCAAGACGCATGGATCTCTGCAAAGAGCTGCAGGCTACACAGAGTGGCCCAGAAAACATTGCCGTGGCATTTCAGCAACTGCTGTGGGCTTGCCAAGACATCATCTAAAGCACACCCCCTTTCTAAACAAACACCCCCGCACCCCTCCAATCATTTCCCATTGCCCTGTAGGGGCCTCCTGATGTTTTGTATATTTACATATTGTCTTTAAGCTGCAACCTTTTTTTAAATGTCTATAGGCATTATGAAAACTGTTCAAACTCTGTCTGAATCCTTTGGCTCAAAATGTGGGATGGTTCATAGACAATTAAAATTAAAATGGTGTTTTAACACACACACACACACACACATTGAACAAAAATGTCTTGTTAAAATAATCCAAAAACATGCAGGTTTTAGGCCAGAGCTCTTTCTGTTAGGTATAATACCAGAAATTGTTGATAAACAAAATGTATATTTATTACTGCCTGTTTCAACTGCTGCGAGGGTTATATAGGCACAGTACTGGTAAAATGAAGAAACACCTACAAGTCAAGAAATAATTAAAAAGATATCGGACTGCGCCAAAATGGATAGACTAACACTGAAAATCAAAGGAAAAGAAGATACAAAATATTATCAAACATGGGTCTTATTCTATCATTGGTTAGAAGGATGGTGTATAGATGATTATTAACTGCACCCTGGTGTCACGGTGTTAACATCGATGGATTTTATATAATAAAAAGAAAATTAAACACACACACACATACACACACACGCACACACAGGTTCTAGGAAAAGACCAAGAGTATAAAATGTGGGAAATGTTTTACTCTGAACAGGTCTTAAAATAGTTTTACTACAAATGTGGGTTTTTATTTTCTGTACTCTTGAACTTGTTGCAGGTTTTGCTTGTCGGCCATAATCTCCAAAGCGTCACAGCCACTGCAAAGAGCGGCAAGTGCGCGCAGAAGGGCCCCGAATTCGCCGCTGTGGAGTTTCAGACCCAGGAAGCCTCAGGGCATGCCCAGGTGGCCTAAGGCATGCTCAGGCATGCCTTAGGACCACCCACTTTTCTACACAGACCCTCCAATGGCGCCTATTGGTCTACAAGGAAGCAGGCTGGCCCAACCCTTCGGAGCCAATCCTCAAGCCTCCCTAGGGTCACGGGGGTCCCCCAACTCTAGGTAAACCTCCTATAGGTCCACAGGGGCCTCCACAACCCCCTGACGTCACCCAGAACCCCGCCCCTTCCGGCGGTAGGGGCCAGGGTTCACCCTTGACCCCGGAAATCGATCCTTGAGTCTTATGTCCCGCCTTACAGGGCTGTTGTAGCTGTCAAAGATTGATGTGATGAATGCTATGCTACCTAACTACTAAAAGGTACATTAATGGGAGAGGGGGAAACAAGGGGAACCATTAAAGTTTTTGAGACATTTCTGTGAAGCCAACATTTCCGTGAGCTGATTTTCAGATTGTGTACTCCAATAAGGCAGTGGCATTTTGTTAAGAGGAAAAAACAAAAACAAAAAGAGAGAGAAAGAAACAGCTTTCTCTATATGCCAGTGTGGTTGCATGTATTTAGACTTCATGACATACTAAACCTTCATTTAGGAGATTATTTAAAGAGTTACAAAGTTACCTTTAAAACGTAGTCAGTTACAGTTCTCTACAACCCTTATTGTTAGAGATAGTATTTTAAAAGTAACTATTTCCTTCTTAAAATTAACTAAAATTATCTTTTTAAAAAAAGCTGAAGGCTGCAAGCCACCGTGATACAAAACGTACTCTCCATCTCCCTATCAGCTCAACACACACAATAAGCAAGAGAAAGTAGCATAGGGCACATATATTTCTTCACCATTGCCTTCCTCTAAGTATAAAAGTAGCAAATGTTAAAATTAAACTGAAAAAGGAGTGAGGTTATTCCTCATTGCCTGATGGTTGTAACATAACTTCATTAATGCATTTGTTCTTGCAGAAAATCATTATTTACAGGTAACTAGTTACTTGTAATAAGTTATTTCTAGTCCGGTTTTATTTAGTTGGAGGTGAATTCAGCTATTTGGTTTCTCATAAACTGCTTTTCACTGCAGGGCATTTCTGCAGATTTTGAATGCTGTTCCCAGAGAGGATCACATGAGAATCGTATTTATATTTTTGATACAAAGCAAAAGTTCTTTTATTGTCTTTGCCAAACATTGAGAACTCTTTGTTTTAGAACTATTGAGGATTTATTTTGTCTATTTAAGCCATGGGGAATCTTATGTATTCATTCAGCAGATAAATTAGCTTTATCTGCTGCTCTTTTTCATTTATCAGCTTGTATAGCTGATCTATATTGCTTTTGTTCATTTCATGAACACTCATGGGAACTTTTGTGTGCTAGCACAAGATCCAAATTTAATAAATAAGTGGTAATACACATGTCAATAACTATTTTTAATTGCAATCCTGTACACCCACACAGGGAAGTATCTATAGGACTGCACTGTAAGTGGCACAAATTCAGTGCCAGCTGAATTTATGGCCATCAGATGATTATTCCAGAAGTTAGGAAGCACAGAGTAAACTGTTGCCACCGATTTCAAAGGTGTTGCTGCTGTAACAGGAAATCTATTGCCAGTTAATTCTCCAGCCACTTTTTCTTCCCATTTATAAATTAATACAGCACCAGGCTAGGCAAGAGGCTGTATTATCATCAAAGCCCACAAGTCATTAGTAGCCGTAACAGTAATGAAAACGACAGGAGAATCTAATTGAATTAGATTCAATTCAATTCACACAACATTTACAGCAGCACCATATGTGCTTAATAGAGTTTGCAGGTAGAAGCTAATGAACCTTACACAATCATGGGCAGCTATATGGATGCCATGGTTTTTCTGCTTATTAGTCCTCTTGGAAGAATACTTGCAAACTCTTAGCACAGACAAAAAAAGGAAGAAAATCTTAAAAGTAACAGATTGTGTCAAATGTAATAAGGGCTTGTATTAACTTTAATCCCAGAAAATGAAATATTTCTATATTATATCTCTCATATCTAGAATTTTATCCTTTTGGATTATCAGAAACTTAGCATCTTGAACTAAAGCATCAAGGCTGCAACCTGATGTACTCTTTTGCAAGAACAATCCTTTTGACCTTTGTGGGATATCCTTCTGATAAACAAACCTAAGATCAAACTTTAATAGTCGTAGCCAGACTAGGTTAGATGCCCATGGGTCCCACTGAAATCAGTGCCGCAGGACAGGCATAATTTAAGTTCATTAATTTCATTAGAATCTAAGTATAGCTTATCATAAGCATTTTGTGGAGGGAAAATAGCATCTCTTTATGGAGCTTGTCTCTAAATGCTTAGACACTAACAGAGAGATCAATTAACCATTGACAGTCCTGTGGTAGTGTGAGATCTACAATGTGGAAAATTTTTCAGATTTCTTTTAACAACTCTCAGAGATCCCTCAGCTACATGCTGGTTGTAGGATTTGAGAAGTTGTAGTCCTAAAATAACAGATAATTCCTATCTCTGAAGATCAATGAATGAATAGTACCAATTCAATAAACTGAGAGCTGATAGTATTTTCCTCAGTGAATTAAGTATCTGGCTTTGGAGCCACAGATTAGGAGTTCAATTTCCCACTGTGCATCTCAGAAGAGCCGGCCTGTGTAGCCATGGGCAAGCTACACAACCCCAGGATGCCCCCAGAAGAAGGGAATGGCCAACCACTTCTGAGTACTCTGTATCTAAAAAACCCTGAGAAGGATCGCCATAAGTCAGAATTGACTTGACGGCACATGAGCATTATCATAGGGGTCGGGTACTGCATAAAGCTGTTATCCAGTGCTGTGTAACTGGAAAGAGAGCATGCACCCAAACATTATAGCATAGCTTTACCAAAGATATTACTTGAGATACATAGGTGCCACCCATTTTGCATAGGTCTAAGCTAGGCAAAGTTTTAACACCAGGTGTTTCTCAATGAACATCTTTGGAAGGTAACTTTTGTAAAGGACTAAGAATCATTTGAAGTTTTCAATAACTGACAAGTGGGATCTGCCATTAAATCTTGCAAGATGGAGTTTTCCTGTTCAGGCTGCTCTGCTCCATTCCTTTACCACATTAATTTCCCAAGGCTTATTTTGCTCCAAAGAGCTGTCCAGTGCTTTGTGGAAACTGAGAAAGCCCATTCTTTGTTCATCCCTTTTTGAGGTTTCTCACTTTATGTATCCTCTCTCCTCGCCCAAATATGTTTTGTTGTTCTGCAGACTGTGCTGGGGAGGTTGTCTCTCATGTGTAGATTTTGAAGTTCAGACATTCACCATTACAGTCCCCTATAAATATGTAAAGGCTGTAGCCAGTCCCAGGAAAGCTGCCAAACACAGGCAAGTCTATTGTTCAGTAATAACAAATGAATTCTAGAAGTTCTATTTCTAGCAAGAGTGGAGATTTTGTAAAGCTAATGGGTCTTAATTGCCCATTCAAGATGCTTTGCATTACAATGTGAATGGCTCACAAAACAATACACTGTTTCTGGGAGAATCCATTTCTTTCCACCTACTGTGAGGATTCTAGCTAAACTCATACAGGAAAGGAAAGTTTAGGGTGGGGTATGTGCATAATTATCTCTGCTAAATAGGAAGCCCCAGTGATCTATCCCTGTAAATGCTGGCTCCACAACACCATTGATGAGGAACCTTTTGCTATCTACATGATTTTTCCACTTCAGCTCCCATAAGAAGGAGGTTTATGGGAGCTGAAGTGCAAAACAGCTGGAGACTATAAGATATTCCAACCATTACTCTAAAATGGGGTCTTTCCTCAAGACTCGCTTTAATACAGAAAACTTTGAACTGATCAGCCGTTTAGTGACATATATCAAGAAGAATGTGGTATTGTTTTCTTTTGTAGGAACATGTGATTCTGCCTGTAAAACAGAATCCAGTGGTAGACAAGATTCATCCAGCTGAGTTGATGATGACTTAAATAAACTCTGATTAACTGAGCACTCAAACAGGCTCTCCTAGTTTTAAGTAACATTAGATACGATAGTGGGAAGAAGAGGCATGGCAGTATGATGAGAGGATACAAGATAGTCAACATGACAAGTGCCCAGAGGTTTTGTATTTCATGGGTTATTAGAACAAAGCACCAACCACTTGTTTTCCTGCACATTTCCTAGTGGGTAGGAAGAAGTGGCACAGATGTTCTGTGTGCTGAAGGCTGTAACAGTAGCAGAAACCAACAAAGACATATGTAAAGCTCTGTTGCCTGCAAGCTGTTGACAATTCAGTCAGGCAACAATTGTCTAGGATGCCCAGCAGAGGAATTTAACTGACTGGTCTGTTCTTCATCACTGTCACATGAAGACTTGAATTCTCCAATGGCATATGAGGTGAAAGCAGCAAGGAACTGGCTTCAGGGAGACAGAAGACAGAAAATGTTTGCTCCATGGAGTCCTTTTAAAATTGCTCCTAGTCTATGTGGCAGCTGCCACCACATGACAAGCTGATGATATGATCTTTCCCATTCAGACCTAGATTTTTTTATGTCTACAATGGATCTTCAAAGGGAAGGAAAGAGAGATGATATCCCATTTTGCATACCATTACTTGGTAGTAAGACCCATAGAGAGCAATATAATTTACCTCCCTGTAGCCAGGAATAGGCTTACACTGCCAGTCTACCTAACATTAAACTATGCTGCCTCTACGGGGACATGGTGGCGCTGCAGCAGAAGCCTCTGTGCTGCAAGGTTGGAAGACCAGCAGTTGTAAGATCGAATCCACATGTTACAGTGAGCTCCCGTCACTTGTCCCAGCTCCTGCCAACCTAGCAGTTCGAAAGCATGTAACGGTGTTCTGTGTCTAGGCACGCTGGCCATGTGACCACAGAAACTGTCTTCAGACAAACGATGGCTCTACGGCTTGGAAACAGGGATGAGTACCACCCCCTAGAGTCGGACATGACTGGACTAAATGTCAAGGGAAACCTTTACCTTTACCTTTATGCTGCCTCTAGTAGGTGCTGATTTCTTATCTCCTATAACTGTTGCAGCATAGAGTCTTCCAAAATCCTTGGAGACCAATAATACAGATACTATACTTTGGAGTTTAAAAGTGTTATATAGTGTATTAAATATTAATATTGAGCATTTTTTTCTTTGAAAAGATATGCTACCAGCATAGGCTTGCCATGTGCTGATTTCCTAAGTTGGCTCAGCTAGGTCCATCCTATGGATCCTATCCAGCTGACATCGGCCTTGACTGAGTTCATGTAGAAGTGGTGGAATTCAAGTTAGTCTGATAACCGTTTTAGCTGGGTTGAGGCTTAGGAATTGTGTATTCACATTATGCAAAACAATTGCACCAATTTTCCCTATCAAGTGTTGACAAAGCAGTTTTCAGAATGAAAGATTGCCTTTCCATGAATCCAGAAGCAGGTTTCTAATTGCAGGTAGCTAAATCAAATAGAGTTAAGTGTAAGCTGTTAAGGAAGATAGCATTTTGTTTGTGCACTGTGCTTGTGACTTGAGATAAGCTAATTCGGTATAGGCAAAGGCTGATTAAAGGTGTGTGTTGTCAAGTTCTGGATTTTTTACTTTTGCCCCTAGGCTAATATTGTCAAGGGGACCACATAAATCTAATTTCTGTTTTTATCAAGATATGCATCTTCCCTATAAGTTGTATTAAAATGTGGATGAAACCTCACTGGTGGTGTTCTTGATCTACAGGACAAGGGCTGATAATTCTCCTGTTGTCTTCAACCGTCTCACTCCTTGGTGGGCTGATCTTTGGGTATGAGCTTGGAATTATCTCCGGGGCCTTGTTGCAGCTGCAAGTGGACTTTCATCTTGGCTGCTTTGAACAAGAAGTCCTTGTGAGCTCTTTACTCATTGGAGCTCTCCTAGCCTCTTTGGTTGGTGGAATCTTCATTGACCGACAGGGAAGACGGAAGGCAATATTGGTCAGCAATGCAGTTTTGCTGTGTGGCACTCTCATCATGATACTAACAGGGTCACTTATTTGGCTGGTATGTGGCCGCATGACTGTAGGTTTTGCCATTTCCTTGTCATCAATGGCCTGCTGCATATACGTCTCTGAAATGGTGGCTGCCCATCAGCGGGGTGTTCTGGTTTCCCTCTACGAAGCTGGCATAACGGTGGGCATTTTACTTTCATATGCACTGAATTACCTGTTTGCAGACACCCACCAGGGATGGCGATACATGTTTGGCCTTGTCATTGGTCCAGCAGCCATTCAATTTCTCAGTGTCCTGTTCCTTCCAAAGACCTCTGTGAGTGTTAGTGTACGCTACAGCGATATTCACAAAAGCCTTATCCGGCTCCAGAAGAATGAAGATGGTGAAGATGTCATGCCAACAGGCCTTCAGGAAAAGCATTATTCTTTTGCAGACCTTTTCAGATCAAGGGACAACATGAGAAGCCGGACTCTGGTTGGCCTAGGGTTGGTGCTCTTTCAGCAGTTCACCGGGCAGCCCAATATCCTTTGTTATGCTTCTACAATCTTCCGTTCTGTGGGATTTCAGAGTGATTCCTCTGCTGTCCTGGCTTCTGTTGGTCTCGGAGTGATGAAGGTCATTTCAACTGTTGTTGCCATGGCTCTGGCAGATAAAGCTGGCAGGAGAGCATTGTTGATGGCTGGATGTATGGTGATGGCCTTCTCAGTGACTATGATCGGCCTGACCAGCTATTCTACTCCCTTAGAGATGGCTAAACATTGTGAATTGCTCACTGGATCAAGCAACACTTCATTGACCTCAGCAAACCTCCCCGTCAAGTCAGTGTCTCCCCAGCCAGTGGCATCGGGTGCTAGTGAACTTCCAGCAAAATCAACCTTTGTTATCACAGAAACTGCCAGTGTGGCCAAAACATTGGCCACTGTTAAAAATGGGGCAAGAATGACAACCACTCCTTCACACACTGAACAGACCCACTTTCTTAATCAGTCAGTTGAAAGAAATGAACACGGTACCTTCACATCTGTTGATGAGGCTCCTTTGAAGAAACATATGCTTCTAAATTGGATTACGTTACTAAGCCTGATGGCTTTTGTGAGTGCATTCTCAATTGGCTTTGGACCAAGTAAGTCTTCTCCTTCTGCTTTCATGTTCCCTGGTAGAACAGCTCATTCATATGAATGAGTATGGATATGTATGAATGTACTGTATCTTCTTAGCTTTTCCAAGTCTGGGCAATAGTAGAGTGACTGCAGTATAACCAAGGATGCGTGAATTCCTTAGAGTGGGGTAGGGAGCCTGTGATGTTGTTGGAATACAACTCCCATAATTTTTTACCATTTTAACCATGCTGGTTAAGGCTGATGGGAGCTGCAGTTGAACGACACTTGGAGGAACATATATCCTCCCATCCCTGCTTCCAGTACAAATTTGTATAATGACAAGCCGGTGTAGTGTCTCTAGTGTTCTCATCCCTGAAAACGAGGTCCTTTATTGTACAGTACCATAAAAATGGGACCTGCTTAAAGAAAGGCAGTCTAGAAAGGGGGAAGAAGGAGCTCATTTAAAAACAGCCACACTAGTTTAATCTTGGGAGAAATAAACCCATATTCTTTGGCTGCAGTTCTATACTCCCTTACTTGGGAGTAAGTCACATTTGCTTGTTTGCTTGATTGTTTGTTGTTCTCCCTGAGTTGCTTCTTGCTCAGTGACTTTCAAAGGTTCATATGTTGCTCCTTTTGAGTGCTTTTACACCATTGCTTCATCTACTCCATCACTTCCTTGCCAAGATCTCAGGAAATCTCCTCCTCCTCTACCTGATTTACTGCCCAAGATTTCTGAATTGGAGATGCTGGGGACTGGGATGTTGAATTAACTGCTCCATCCAGTTCCTGCAGTGTTTGCACTCATTCAGGCTTTTCCCAATTGTTTTTCAAGAATTTCCTTTTACCTGTTGTTGTTCCAGGAACTAAAAATTATATATATATTATATTTGCATAAGTGGGGTAGGTGAATATGGTTCCAAAAGAGCAGCTAGTTCCTGAAACAGCAAACCTTCATATACATGCATGCATGCATGCATGCATCCATCCATCCATCCATCCATCCATATACTGTATATAGATGGCTGAGTGGGTGTGTAAATATATATATAAAGAGATAAATATTCTAAGTTGCACATGCAGTTGGGCAGATGTGTGCTACCGTCTGGCTTGCAGAATGGCCAGTAAAACTTTATGAGGTTTTCAGTGGTTGTACATTTTGTCACATAACTGGTGTGAGATCTAAGTTTCCTTCCGTTACATGGGCAGTGAGTGACTGTCAGTCCTCTGCATATTTTCAGCTTTAACTTCTAGGAGCCTTAGCTACCATGTTTTCCCAAAAATAAGTCAGGGTCTTATATTAATGTTTTTTGCTGTGGGTGTATTGTTGTGATAAGAGGGAGAGATTATCCGTTACTATGATTGATGGGTGTCATTAGCTGGACATCCTTGCAGCTGGGTAGAGTTTGTGTAGATAATACAGTACATTTTTCTCTTAATTAGAAGGAGCTTCTCTCTCCTCCCTTCTTGTTAGCTCAACTGCCACAGAGTATGGGGAAATGGATTAAGCCATTTTTTCCCAGATGTTACCAAGTACAGTACATCACACCAGGGCAAAAGCAACACAGGAATATACATTGCAAGCAATGATCCTACTTTCAAACTGTCTCTGATCCACAGAATTGGAGAAAGGGAGATTAATCCTGATGACTGTCCAGTTCAACACCCTGCTAGTGCAGGAAATCCGCCACAGAATTGGAGAAAGGGAGTTCAACACCCTGCTAGTGCAGGAAATCCCAGCTAAAGCATCCTAGAGAGATGGTCGTCCAACTTATTTTAAAATGCCCAGTGAAGAAGATTCTACCATCTTCTGAATTAGGCTATTCCACAATTGTCATCTTAAAGAAGTTGTTCTGTTGTTTAGTTGACTAGAATAAGAAAGGAAAGAAAGAATTGTCAGTAGCCTAAGTTCTCATTCTGGTTATCTTGATATTTCTGAATATCATCCAACCCACTAAGTCTAAATTTCACCTACAAAATCTTTACCTGAGTCAGTTCTTTGTCAGAGCTAAACAAAAATAGTGCTTTGTGTTTCCGTTGTCCTCACTCAAGTTGTCTGCCTTCTTTTCTGTTGCCATAGTGACCTGGCTTGTCCTCAGTGAGATCTATCCTGCCAGCATACGAGGAAGAGCCTTTGCCTTCTGCAACAGTTTCAACTGGGCTGCCAACCTGTTGATCAGTCTCACGTTCCTTGACCTCATTGGTTTGTATTGGCTTCGGTTGCTGCTGGTAGACTGTGTAACAATTTGCTTCACAGCAGGGCTGAAAACATGATCTGAGAAGGGTGGCTGGTTGGGCAGAGACACTTTCTGGGAGTTTAGGCGTAAGTGTTCTCCATTTTCAGCCATCAAGACCCAGTGAGGACAGGCTGTGGTTTACCTCCTGCTTGGGATTTTAGCCCTTCAAAAGGGTGGACAGTTTTCCAAGGTGAACAGAATCTGCACTGGGGACCCCAGAATCAACTTGGGATTGTGCCACTGCTGCAGCAACATCATAGTTGCTGCAGCAGCGGTAATTCTAGCAGCATTCTATGGTATGGAGGTTGCTAGACTATCTTCCCACACCATAGACCCTGTAGAGCAGAGACTTGCTCTTTCTAAAATGATAGATGGAAAGCAAGCTATGATGAATTTTACCACAGTGGCCCAGTGTGTGGGATGCTGTGAAACTCACCTTCAGGTGGTTACTGTAGTAACCTCACAAGGTTGTTGTAAGGCTAAAAAATGAAATTGGGGGGAAGAAGCCACTGACATTGCTAAAAGTAAACTGTAACAGTTAAGAACTACAGGTAGCTGGAACTGCTTCTGCTGAATGGCTGTTCAGGAGTCTGAATCTGCTGTAGTGTTTTTCACCAGTATTTCACGGGGTGGATATTGCTCATTCATAGAGTCAGAGGTGACTGGGCAGCATATAACAACCACAATAAGCTGTTCCCTATTTTTGCATGAGTGCAATTCAAAGGGGCCTGTTCAGACTTCTTTTATCTTCCACATGCATGTGAACATGAAGAGATGATGATCTTTTTAGCCCTTGTGAATTTTTTGTCTTTAAAAATCGTAGACATTATAATAATGATACTAAAAAGGAAAAGCACCCTACAGATTGGCTATTAATATTTCATGTTATTGAAATGCTGATGGGTGTAACAAATAGAATCCTATTAGTTACACCCATCAGCATAGTACCACTGTGACCAGCTCCTACACAGGCTTGTTAATTTTTAAAATCATAACCTTCCTTTAAAGGTCTTGACTGGATCAAGCAGTTAAAGAATGAAAAAAAAAAGATATTCTCTTTATTACAAAATGACAACTAGCAGGGAAACAGATTTCAGCATCAACTTTTTCGTCAGTTACAGCCCAACTCCTAAAGACGACAACCTCCTTCAGTTACACCTGTACACAAACACACACACACACAGCCAATCACCTTCTTTCCCCTGCTACTGTAACAATTGGCCAAGGTTCTGTCACAGCCACCTTTAATAGTGAGTTGCTGTAAACATTTGATGAAAGCATTTCTTGTCATGCACCAATTATCTGATTGAGGATATAACTGAAAATGCCTACTCCAGTTTCTTAACGTACAGCAGTTTGCAACTGAAAGTTGTGCTGCTTACATTATATCATAGCAGAAATATACCATGAGATTCCATCTTCTATCTTACATTTTCTAACCACATTTTGTAAAATTCAATGCACCTAAATAAGGCCAAACAGTTTATAACCCAGTTAATTTAATCTATTGCTCTGATATGTTCTGTGTATGGATTTGGTCCTTGCCAGACATTACCAAACAGAAGCCCAAGGACTGCCTTTAGGTGGGTTTTAACAAGTCCCCAAGCAGCACTACTCATATGTAATAAATGCAACAAGAGTCACTGCAGAAAAACAGTAGTGATATTTTATCACATGTTAAATCTGTTTTGTTACTTCTTACAGATGCCATAGGCATATCATGGATATTCCTTCTCTATGGCCTGGTGGGAGTGATAGCCGTCTTGTTTATTTACCTTTTTGTACCAGAAACCAAAGGACAATCTTTAGAAGAAATAGACCAGCAGTTCTCAAAGAAGCGGTAAGTCCTGATCAGAACCCATAAAAGTTACCCTTTTGGGGGGGGGGGGGACAGCACTTCTCAGAATCTCCCAGGCAGTGAGATTCTAGAGCTCTAAAAAAGTTAAAATTTCTAAACTCTGGTGTGTTGCACTTGTTGCTAGACAGCTAAATCTACAGTAGTTGACAATACCTACATGATGTATCTCAACATTTTTCTCATTGTTTGGCAGTTTGCTACAGAGAAGCCCCTTCTGGCAGAACCTTTGGAACAGAAGGCCGATCCACACACGTTCTCAGTACCAAAGAGTAGACCATTCTAGTGCCTCCTGAGATCAGAGCTGTGAGTGTTCTTACTTGTATGAAGAAGAAGCGCTACCAGCATATCAGGATGCATTCTTCCGCTGTGATGGAAGAGTTGGGCTGTCTTGCACAAAGGAAGAGTCCTGGACTGTTCTGTGAAATCTCAGAGTTCATGTGGGTCACAGCATAATTTCCCTACTTTAAATATCTGTGTTCTGTTATACACCGAATTGAGCATCTTGGTCTTTAAGAAAGACTCTTCTTAACTGCATGCTTTTATAGCCTTGTGTCTGTTAAGAAGAGCCATAGATGATGTTCTCCCATGTATTCACAAATACTTTTTTAAAAACAAAAGGGAAAAAAGCATTTGATGAATAAAGTATAGACTTTTGGCAACAGTGGTATAGAATGTGTGGCCCTTCAGATTTTTAAAAAACTAGTGCCAGCAATCCAAACCAGGATGAAAATGATCAGGAAAAAAAAAGGAAACGTTGCCTGAAAAACATCTGGTACCCCAATTGCTGGCTTAGAATCTATCTAATTAGCGTGAACTAGTTTGTGCTGAATACATGGACTTGTAATAAGACCTTTGCCTTGATGGAGTCTTTTCCTCTTTTGACTTACAGAGCCTTATTACATTTTAACTGGGTTCTTCTTCTGTCTTCTCAAAATTCTGATAAGTTGTGTATGTACATGTCTGTCTGTCTGTCTGTCTGTCTGTCTGTCTGTCTGTCTGTCTGTCTGTCTGTCTGTCTGTCTGTCTGTCTGTCTGTCTGTCTATCTATCTATCTATCTATCTATCTATCTATCTATCTATCTAGCTATCTATCTATCTATCTATCTATCTATCTATCTAATCTGCAGGATCCCCTCTTGCATTCTCCACAAACATACCTAAACAAGGAAAAAACCCAGAACCTGATGCCTCCTTTCTCCAGGTAGTCATTTCTCACTCAAACACAAAATAATTGTCATGGCTCTTTTTCAACATCTTTATTATTTGGAGCACAAGTTTTTGTTTGAAATGTAAGTACGCTTTAATGGTACTATGGATTGCCAGAAAGACAAATAAGATCGAATCACACTTGAACTCCCACTGGAAGCTAAAATAACTAAGCTGAAGCTCACAAGATCCGCTGGAAAGGACAGAGATGCTAGGAACAGTGGAAGGTAGTAGGAAAAGAGGAAAACCTAGCATGAGATGGATTGACTTAATGGACGAACCCAAAGTCTTCAGTTTGCAAGTCGTGAGCAGAGCTTTTAATGACAGCACCATTTGGAAGTCATTAATTTTGAGATTTGCCATAAGTCAGAAGCAACAGGAAGGAACATACCACAGTGTTTTCAATTCTGTGCCACAAATGCAATGCAAAGCATTGTAAACTAGGACATTCTTGTGTTGTGTCTTTCTATGTGGCAGGTGAAGTTACTGTGTATCTGCAGATAATAACAGGACCTCTGATTTGCTGTGATCCTGGCTAAAGAAGTGTGTGTTGGGAGTGAGCACAGGAAGAATTTTAAAAATCAGGTAGCTATCTCATACCCAAGCCCATGAATTAGAAGAAAAAGAAACTCAAGTAGCATCTCGGAAGACTCCTCAGAGGGAGAAAATCCCAGCTGGTGGCAATTCAGCTTGGAACTTTGTTTTCCACACCTGCTGTGTGCCACTTGTCAGATAATGATTAGTTCTGGTGATCCACTTCCTAAATGCCATCACAGCTTGGTACCCCAGCAACAAAACTTACATTGTTTCATAAGGATCTGTTTCCACTGCGATGAACAATTCTCTCAACATTTCACTGTATCTCGGAGCAAAGATGACCAAAGGGATTATTTGAGAAGGAGGTTCTGCTTTATACATTCGAGGCCACTGTTGTGGGGCTGATGTGCTCAGGTGGAAATGGCATCAATGAGATGATGGGTTTACAAGACAGCTTGTGAAACAGGATTACTCTCTGACAGCCCTTCAAATGAAGGAATGCCGCTTCTCAAATAAGCCAAATGGCCGCTCTATACACTGATGGGAGAACCATAAAATTCATCCAGCACAGGTTGAATCCAGGAAGAGGGGGAAAAAGTGGAGGTTCCTAGTTTGATTTGTGGCTAGAGATAGGCACAAATTTTGCTTTGGAGGTTTGTGCGGCCAATGACCCACTTACCAGTCAAGCACGCTCCTCTCCTTCTCCTCTTCGGCAGTTCAACTGGTCCCCAGCAGGAGCACAGGTTTCCCTGTCCTGCCTCCTTCTCTGAACTAGTGGTCAGTCAAGTAGGCAGGACAGGGAGGCCCACGCTCCTGCACGAGACTGGTTAAATGGCTGAAGAGGAGGAGAGGAACTTGTGCCAGCTGGTGAGTGGGGGATCCAGCCGGAGAAGCAGCAGAAGGGAATGTGCCGAAACAGTAATGTCCATACAAACCAGCACAATCCTCTGAACTGAGGTTTGTGCCATTTTTATTTCTGGCTCTATTCATCTCTAGCTTTAGCCCCACACACTGCCAGCATGCAGCACCCAAAAAATTACTCCCAAGAGACACTGGAGCTTTACAGAAATAAAAGTTGTCTTCCACTTCTTATTCTTAAATGAGACACACAGGCGCACATGTTTGAAAAGTGAGTTCCAGAAGCCTGCTTCCTATTACACAAAGTGAGCAAAACATGCTTTCATTTGAAGTCTGATTTAAAGGTAAACAGCCATAAGTAAGGAGATTAGAGATGGTGACAAGATGGTGAAGTTGTCTAACCACAGCAAGCTTCTGGATATCAGGCAATAGCACACTGGATACTTTGGTCACAAGCTTCTCCACTGTAGTGAGATGCATTGTAATTCTGGTTGCGTTAGTAAAATCATTAAGTTTGCGTACATGTTGTTTAGTTGTTGTGTCCGACTTTTTGTGACCCCATGGATTAGTAAAATCATTAACTTTGCGTACATACATGTTGTTTAGTTGTTGTGTCCAACTTTTCGTGACCCCATGGATCAGAGCACACCAGGCCCTCCTGTCTTCCACTGCCTCCCAGAGTTTGGTCATATTCATGTTGGTAGCTTCAGCGCACGCGCGCACGCACACACATGTTTGTGCCTACTTTTTGTTGGCTTTTTGTCATCTTTGTTGTGGCAGCCTTCCTGTTTGTTATATTAGAAAAACCAATTTAGTATAGGGCTGGATCAAAGAGTTTCTAAAACTTATTCCAGAACCCCCTAGAGCTGGCTTCCATATGCACAAGCCACGGCTTTCTAGCTAAGATGAAGAAGAAGCAGGAGCTGATCTAAAAGAAACAAGGACAAATAAAGCCTACAAGTACCACTCTACATGTAGATCTAGAACACACAAGAGGAGAAAACCACTGGATTATCTCTACCTGCTAATTCTTCAGCCCACACTACTGTTGGCGGTCATGTAGTGTGTGGGCTAGTACTATATTCCAGCAGTATGTTGAATCAACATGAATGTGGAGCACCTGGAAAGGGCTGATCTCACAGGGCTGTTTGGAGCATAAAGAGCAGTGCAAACTGTAACTCTCATTTTATGTTCTTGGGGGGAATTGTGGAATATAAAATGAAGAAATAAATAATGGACTTTGGGGTCCCTTGCCGCTCTATGATTCTATATTGATTGTGTTCTGTGTAACAAAAATAAAGGTCTCCATATCAGGCATTCCTGTAGTCCAAATGTGTTGGACTACAACACCCATCATCCCACCATGGCCAGTAATTGTTCTACACTGAGGCCGGAACTACATATTTTCATCTGTTCTATTTAGGGCACAGGCTGGCATCAGGAATCAGCATCAGGGGGCAACTCCCCGACACCTACTTCTGCCCTTTGCTGTTGGCCATTTGCCTATCTTCTCTAATTGAATGACCAGGGAGAGCAGCAAGGTGGAGAAGCAGCAACGTTGGTTCCTCTTGTTTGGGAAGACAGTGTGGATTGCAGCCAGAGTTTGGGAATGTTGCCCAGGGTTTTGAGCTGCAGTCCAAAAAAGGCTACTTCCCAAGCTCTGATTAGAACCAAAGGAAGAGGGAAAGGGAATAAGTAGCAGAAGTGAGGCCAAGAACAGATCTTGCCAATCTTTATGTCTTCCACTCCTCAACTCAAAGAAGATGAACTGAGGGGAAGCAAGGGAAGGTGCAATACCTTGATAGAAAATGAGTAAACTGCCCTGGAATCACCCGGAATTGGGTGTGATAGCCCACTATGTGCATCTGATTCCCTCCAAAGCCCTTCTGCATTCATCCTGAAATTGTTCACCCCCTCCCCTCCCCAAATCCACTGGAAATCAACAGTGCACTCTTCCACCAAAAATGATCAGGGAAGCTTTCTGGTCGTATCCCTGGGTTTTCAGGGATTTTCACGTATTTTCCCGTGTATAAGACACCCCATGTAGAAATGATCAGGGAAGCTTTCTGGTTGTATCCCTGGGTTTTCAGAAGTTACCATATTTTCCCGTGTATAAGACACCCCATGTATAAGAGCCCCCCCTTTCTACCCCAACAGTTCGTTCTTTGCAAGAAAGTAGAGGGCGAAGGCAGGGATCAAAGCACTTTGATTCCTGCTTTCCCCCTCCACTTTCTTGGAAAGTAAGTGCTTTTCCCCTCCACTTTCTTTGCAAAAAGCGGCTTTCCTCCTCGCAAAAAGTGGAGGGGGAAAGGAGCTTTTTGCAAAGAAAGTGGAGGGGAAAAGCACTTACTTTCCAAGAAAGGTGAGGGGGAAAGCAGGAATCAAAGTGCTTTGATCCCTACTTTCCCCCTCCACTTTCTTGGAAAGTAAGTGCTTTTCCCCTCCACTTTCTTTGCAAAAAGCGGCTTTCCTCCTCGCAAAAAGTGGAGGGGGAAAGGAGCTTTTTGCAAAGAAAGTGGAGGGGAAAAGCACTTACTTTCCAAGAAAGTGGAGGGGGAAAGGAGCTTTTTGCAAAGAAAGTGGAGGGGAAAAGCACTTACTTTCCAAGAAAGTGGAGGGGGAAAGTAGGGATCAAAGCACTTTGATTCCTGCTTTCCCCCTCCACTTTCTTGGAAAGTAAGTGCTTTTCCCCTCCACTTTCTTTGCAAAAAGCTGTTTTCCTTCTCGCAAAAAGTGGAGGGGGAAAGTAGCTTTTTGCAAAGAAAGTGGAGGGGGAAAGTAGGGATCAAAGCACTTTGATCCCTCCCCTTTGATCCCTCCCCCCTTTACTACTGTGTATCAAATGACCCTCAATTTTTCCTCTAATTATTTTAGGAAAAAGTGTTGTCTTATAAATGGAAAAATACAGTATCTTACATTTTTAAAAAATATATTTTATTTCTTGATGAAGCATTGTTTCCTTACCTTTACTGTCATATTTGGATATGGAAGTCTCCACTCAGAAGACCTATCTCCAAACTAAAAAAGGTAAACTCAACACCAAAAACAGATT